GAGAGAGAGAGAGAGAGAGAGAGAGAGAGAGAGAGAGAGAGAGAGAGAGAGAGAGAGAGGTGTTGTAGTCGGATTTTCGTTGTCTTTGGAGGGGTAATAACTACGTGCGCTCTGTTAGCAATCAGAAATTTGCAATTGGAGGCAACAATCGGCTGTCCTGGCCTATGACCTGATAACCAGTATCCAGTCGACAGCATTTGTATATATGTACAATTTTTAGCTAGATAGGTAAATTGTACTTGTATACTTGGAAGAAGGCACAGGAAGATGTCTGTCGACTACGGCCTGAGCGTGAAGAGGAGCAGAGTGTTGGGATTGGTTATCCTGATTGCCTTTCTGGCGGTAGCAGCGGTAATCATATTCAATCTCGACGCTCTAGACGAACTAGGGAGAGGCTGTGCCAAGTCATCGTCGCCACGCGTCGTACGCAGCAATGAAGCGATGCAGAGGCAGAGGGAGGTTAGTACTAAAGGACCTAGCAATCTTCTTTTCATTCATCGTTGTCGTCGTTGCTTGATTACTGCTCTCTCTACCACCATCCCTATTGGTCGTACCAGGCTCAGGAGCATCACCGCTGAAGCTGTAACCAGTTCCAACCTCAGTTATATCGACGCCGTCCATTCTCAGACTGATGGCAGCAGCGACTCCATTCCTTTTTTTCCCTCCCCCTTGAGATTCTTAACAGGAGAAGGATGGGTGCTGGCGTCGTCGTTGTCCTTTTTGATAACCACAGTCTCTGCGTTCGTACCCTCGTTAACCACCTCTTCCTCACCTTACTCTTCCGCTTCGCCCTCCTCTACTAGCTCTTTTTTGCCTTCCTCCTCCTCCTCGGCCTCGTCTACGTCCTTCTCCTCCTCCTCCTCCTCCTCCTCTCCTTACTCTTTCTCCTCGTCGTCCACTAGCTGTTTTAGGCCTTCCTCCTCCTCCTCCTCTCCTTACTCTCCCTCTTCGTCCTCCTCCACTAGCTCTTTTATGCCTTCCTCCTCCTCCTCCTCCTCCTCCTCCTCCTCGGCCTCTTCTACTTCCTTCTCCCACTTAACAGCACTCCCGAATCTCTCCTCCTCCTCCTCCTCCTCATACGTAGACAGAAGTCTGGTTGATCGAGGACGGCGCAGATTACGCCAGCTGGATGATGGTACCGCCGTTGATTTGAGAATTGTCGCCGACGCTACGATACTACTCCCGACTGTCGAGATCGTTTTGTCCTCTTCCGACGGCTCTTCGGTTTCTTCGTCGTCATCATCATCGCCAAACGCTGGTAGTGCAATGGATGTGTGCGGCATTTGTCCGTCACGTGTAGATTCAAAGCGTCGTCTTTTCTTCGTTCAGCGCAATAGCAACGACGGCGCATCCACGCTGATGTCGGTGGACACGTCAGCAGCGAGTGCAGCGGGGGGGGGAGGGGTATCAGCGTCAGCAGCAGCCTCGCCTTTCTTGTGGTGGCCGAAGAATGGCAGCAGCGTTGATGCAGGCAGCAGAAGATCCATGTCGGACCTAGCGATCTCGCCGGGCGGTGCGATGCTCTACGTAGTGCTCCAGGAGGAGGACACGGTGTTACTTGTGAGCACCTCGAGTGGAGAGGCGTCCCTCCTGGCCGCTGATAGGACGATATCGGGACCTCTACACGTGGCCGTCGATCCTATCGGGAAGACGTTGTACGTGGCGTCGTCTGATCGGATATACGCGGTCGATCTGACGCTCAGGGACGGCGGTGGGACCGTAGCGACTCGCATCGTAGCGGGAGGAGATGCAGCAGGAGGAGGAGGAGGAGGAGGAGGAGGAGGAGGAGGAGGAGGAAGTGGAAGCATAAATAGTAGCAGTAACGGGATTACCGAGGAGGATGTGTCGGGACGAGGGGTGAGATTTCAGATCCCTATTATCAGTTCGTTCAGCATTTCCAGCGATGGATCTTTCGTCTTCGTCGCCGATCAAGAGAACCATTGTGTCAGGCGAGTCGCGACGTCGACGGGGGTAACGACGACCCTCGTCGGGACCCCGGGGTCGCCTGGGACGGTGGATGGGCCGGCCAACGTGTCGCTGCTTAATCGACCGAACGCGATCTTGCTCACGCCAGACGGCTGCCACGTGTTCATAGCGGATGACGTCGGATCGGTAATCCGATGGATCGGTCTGGACTCGCCTTACGGGATCCCTTCTGAAGTGAAGCGGATCGCGACGCTAGTCCATACGACCGATGGTGGGTTCAGCGGGCACAGGATAACGTCCCTTGCTCTTGGGAAGGAGGATGGAGAAATGGGGGAAGGACTGTTGTTCCTTTACGTTGGTACCTGGAACAGAATGATCTACAGAGTCCCGATCAATCAATCTGCGCTTCAAGGATCATGTGGCAACCTTCGCTCCAGTGAATCTGCTCCCATTCCTTCGCTCGACGGAGGCGATGGCAACACTCTCTCCTCCTCCTCCTCATCATCATCTTCTTCTTCGTTGATGGGCTCGACGGAGTCCTCCTTTATATCATCTTCGTCATCGCCATTGCCTGGAAGCTCCTCAGCAGGAGAAGGGGGAGGAGGGGATGAGAGTGGGCAGGAGGGGAGGTCGGCCGAGTTCCCTTCCCTGTCTACCCCTCCCGCTTCCTCGGGGGTCAGTGCCGAGTCACAAACGAAGGGAAAAGTTGTAATGTACCTCAGAGTAATCTTTGTTGTCCTCGGCAGCTCTGCTGTTGGCCTTCTTCTGTTGCTGGCCTTTCTTCTCTATGTGCGTCGACATCGCGAGGTCATGTTGGCAGCCGACGAGGCGGCGGACGCCAAGACGAAGAAGTTGACCAGATCGAGGTCTTCCTGCTTGGCCCGCTCCTCAGTCGCCGATTCCAGCACCAGCTATGGGGGTTCGGGGTGGTTCTACAAATTGACGACGGCGGACGAAAAACCGCTCTTGCCGTCCTCGCATCGGATGCCATCTCCGCCTCATCAGCATAATGCCACAACGGATCGTTGTGCGGCGGCTACTGGCGCGGATCGTAGCAGCAGCAGCTGCGGTGACGACAACAATCAAGGCAAGAATCAGAAGACAAGGCAGCAGCAGCAGCAGCAACAACGACGACGACAACAACATCTGGGGAAGAAGTGCGTCGATGGGTTATGGGTCTTTGGGTACCGCGCGCTGTATCGAGCTACAGCGGGTTTTGATGATGAGCGGCGTGTAGGAAAGGGAGGTTATGGGATCGTGTACAGAGGAACTTTGGGAGAGGGGGTTCAAGTAGCGATAAAGTGTATGAGAGAGAGTTTGCGAGCGTCCACGAAGAAGAAACAGTTCGTGTCAGAGATCAAGATTTTGGGCGGGTTGGACCACGAACACTTGTGCAAGCTGATTGGATACTGCACGGAGAAGAAGAGCTGCATGCTAGTTTATCCCTTCGTGTCGGGGGGCAGTTTGTACGATCGACTTCATCCGTTGGAAGATGGCTCGAAGACAGAGAGCAGCAGTTGCTCGTCGGCGGACAAACCTCCTCGTCCGCTATGGTGTCCCGTCAGAGGAGGAGGAGGAGGAGGAGATCGGTATCGCTTGTTTAGCACGAGGATGACCAATCAAGGCACCGCGCCGCCATCGAGAACGGAAGATCATCATCATCATCATCATCCGCAGCAGCAGCAGCAGCAGCAGATGATCGAACGGCAGCAGGAGCAGCAGCGCCAGCAAGAGGAGGAGTGGGTGGGTGTCACGTCAGCAGCACCAACTCCTTTGCGCTGGCGGACACGTGTACTCGTTGCTCAGCAAATCGCCCGCGCTTTGCACTATCTTCACGAGGTTGCCGATCCGTCCATTCTCCATCGAGACATCAAATCAAGGAACGTTCTCCTCGCGGGCGAAGGGGATGAGATTCGAGCCTTCGTCACTGACTTCGGACTCGCCCGGCTGGGCGAAGCGCAGCGCGTCGAAGGGATCGCTGGAGCTTGCGGCGAAAACACCGACGGTGAAGAGGTCACGTTCAGTACGGGGGACAAATCTGTCCCGACTTGGCATATTGTCGGGACCCCTGGCTACGTGGCGCCAGAGTACCTCTTCTCTCGTCGGCTCACGAAGAAGAACGATGTCTTTGCGTTCGGTGTCATCCTGCTGGAATTGTTAACCGGGAAGAAGGCGGTGGTAAGGGGATTCGAGGATCCGGGGAGGGGGGGGGCAACGCTCGTCCGGTGGGTAAAACCCTACAAGCTAGAGACCGCTTCCTATGCTACGCTGAAGAAGATCCTCGATCCTGCTCTGCTGCGCCTCGAGGGAATCGATCCCTGGACCATTCAGCAGATTGCCAGGTTGGCGGCTATGTGTGTTCACGACGAATCCAGTCAACGGCCCGGAATGACAGATATTGTGAATTACCTAACGGCAGTAGCGACGCGATTGCCGGACCAGCAGCAGCAGCAGCAGCAGCTTCCGCCGCCGCCACCACCCACCTCCGCATCCCCTTCCTTATTCCCCCATCCGAGAGAATCTATCTAGCTAGCTCTTTTTTTTGTCTTTTTTTGGTCTTTTTTTTCCCTTCTATCTGGCTCACTAATGACGTCCTCCCCTTCTTCTTCACGATGATTCCGATCAACGGCCCTGGATGACAGATGTTGTACATTACCCCACGGGAGTAACGACCCGATTGCCGGAGAAAGAAGCAACAGCAGGCTCCGCCGCCACCAGCCACCTCATCTTCTCCCTTATGTCCCCCATTCAAGAGAATCTATCTAGCTCGTTAATTGCCTCCTCCACTCCTCCCCTTCTTCCTCACGATGAGTCCAATCAACGGCCCGGGATGACATATATTGTACAATACCTCACGGCAGCAGCACCAGCAGCAGCAGTAGCAGTCGCCGCCGCCACCAGCTGTTTCCTCTCCTCCCTAGTTTCCGTCATTCGAGAGAACTCCTATCTAGCTCGCAGGAATAGCTGTGACTAATTAACGAACGGTTCCCTCCCTCCCTTCCCCATCCTCCTCCCCTTCCTCCTCACCCCCCCATTTCCCCATTTGATACAAGTTAACTGCCGATTGCCGCCGAGCGCTTTTCGTCATTTCCCTGTCGGGCAGCCCGGAAGGAAATTGCCTATAATATACGTCAACGCTCTACCCTTTCCTTCGAATAAAACGTCCCCCCGGCTATTATCGTTGCACCTGCATCATGACTGGAAATTGCCGCAAATTACAGCTCGATTCATCTGGACGGGAAATTGGGCGAAACACCAGGAGCAGCCAGCTGTGATGACCGTGCGTTCCATTCGGGGGAAGACGGCGGCAAAATGACAGTTAAGAATCACAGGATGGAGAGCGCAGGAGGGAGAGAGGGGAGAGGAGTCTCAAATCAATACTCTACCAAGAAAAACATCGGGAACGCCTTTCAACGCTTTGCTATTTTCCGTGGGCCGACTCGAAGTGTGGCATCAAGAGTCTCCATATCCGTAAGTACATGAACCTTGAAGGGGGGGTGAAAAGTCTCCCCCTTCCATATTTGGCAATCTGCGGGCCACAGGAAGGATTGATATGGAAGGGGGAGACTGTTTCCCCCACTCTCTTCCTCGAGCAACATCTCTATATGCCACAGGGAGATGTTGGTCGAGGAAGCGTGTGGACAACAGATTGCGTGCTAGGTTGGTGTGCCTTTTCTTCTGTGTGTTCGCGAGGGAGCGAGGATACCAATCAACAATGTCCCGGGACGATCGGGGTATTCTGGCAGTATCTCGAAGAAGCCGTAGCCAGACGATTGCCGGAGCAGCAGGCGGTGCAGCAGCACCCTCCACCAGCCTCCTCGTCCCCTTCCCTTGCTTACTGTGTGACCCCATGTGAGATAAATTGTTTGAAGTACCTCCTCCTGACCTACGCAGAACTTTCTTCATTTCATTTCCTTGTCTGTCTGACAAGCAGTGCCAAGATGCTGAAGAATAGCACTCTGGTGTGGGATTACACGTGTGGAGAGAGAGAGTAAAAAGTGTGTGCGTGTCCGTGTGTGTGTGTGTGTGCGTGTGTGTGTGTGTGTGTGTGTGTGTGTGAGAGAGAGAGAGAGAGAGAGAGAGAGAGAGAGAGAGAGAGAGAGGGACAAACTGAATGTGTCCCGCGCTGTAGAAAACGCGTGGAGGCTAAGGTAAGTCCTGAACCGCGAAAGCAAATGGGACGATGATTGGTGGACGAGGAGGTGATGCGGAGTTGGGGTGGAAGGGAGGGAGAGGAGGAGGAGGAAAGAGGAGGGGGAGGGGGAGGATGAAGGGGAGCCGCCTGAGTTTGAGAGGAAAGAGGAGGGGGAGGAGGAGGAGGAGGAAAGATGAGGGAGAGAGGTAGGGAAATGTGCTCTATATGGTGTGGCGGCAGACGAGAAACGGCTGACTAATGCGGAGGGCTTGCTCAAGTATAGGATCATCAGCTATGCCCGGAGCAAGAAGAGGAGCCAGGAGCAGAGGAGGAGGAGGAGGAGGAGGAGGAGGAAGGCCTCACGTCTCCAAACGTATCTCATTACAAACGAGTTGCTATGGTGGATAAGAAACCTGGTTTGGTCCAAGGGCCGGAGTATAGGAGCAGCTATGGCCGAAAAGAAACGGTGGCAAGAGGAGGAGCCAGGAGCAGAGCAGGACGAGGAGGAGGAGGAGGAGGGAGGAGGATGAAGGCCTCACGTCTGCAAACGTAGTGGATGCTTTCATCACAAATGAGTTTTGTAAGTGCCCGCCGGGGCGACTACGGGAGGGGAAAGAGTTTGTCTGCAGGAGCTATTACGTATCGAGTTATTTTTGTCCTATTAAAGCGGATGATGGGGGGGGGGGGTCACTAAATGT